TCGTCTCGTGTCGCTCTTTGTACAGTGTCGTAACCACTGGTCGGATCCGACCCTCCCAAATTCTCGGTTAGGCCGGGGGATGTGAGTGGATGACAAAGTGGACTTTGCAGTCACCCTCATATAATACCGATCTCCCTCCCTCTCTCTCTTCCTTTAGGCGAAGCGACAAGGGCAGTCAAGCGCCGGGAATGGGATCCGAAGCACAACTGGACCCCAACGACCCTAACTACATCAAGATGCTGAAGACTGCTCAGGTACATTTACTCCGTAGCCCGGGATTTGTTGCTGACGGGAAACCGAATACCTCCCAGTCATGCAAGATTTTTTGCTTTCTATCGGTATCAGTTTATTGAGGTGAATGCCCATTAGCTCTCTATTGGTAACAAGGGGCTAAAAAATACATGGATACAAAAGAAAAGGAGAAAAAATACTTTAGCTTTCAGCTTGCAAACGAAGAGTGAAAAGCGAACAGCTGTCGATGTTGAAACAGTAATAAAGTATGACTACTCGCTTGGTATGAGTAGTGTAATGAATATTTGTAATACTCACTCTCTGTATCCCGTGTGACAGATTGTAGCTGACGTATAATCTAATACTTCAATGCATGTTTGTCAAAGCACAGCGACGTGGTGAATAGGTGATTCATGCTTTTACTTTCTAATCATGCCAAAACTAAATACGGGGCTCGGAATTAAGCAAAATGGCTGGCAACGTTTCCGCTAGGCTAGCCTAACGTTCCCAGCTTTGGCTCGAATGTTTATATGAGCCAATCATCTTCAGCGGTGTACCTGACTATAAAGCTCCAGGATACCACACGAAGGCCGACCTATGCCTATGGTTGTCAGCCTTACAAGCCACAGCGCGTTCCGGCTAGACTAAGGCACTTGTTACAGGAGATCCGCTATTTAATTGGATGCCAATCTAAATTCTGAAATGTGTTCTCAATTCGAAAAGATAAATTAAGTAGTGTTATAACCTTTATAATAGTGCAGCATAACCCCTTCCTCCCCCCCCTCTCCAGGGTCCGATGAGCACCGATGGAAGAGAAGATGACGACGATTTTAATGTTCAAACTCGCGCCATTGGTCTCTCCTACTTTCGTCTCGATCCCCACCTCCAGGAGTTTTGCTTCTGCGCGGATGAGGAACTGGATCTCTCCAAGCGCTTCCGTCTGCTTCAGTTACGCAACTCCGGTCATCGCGACTTCCAGGAGGTGGTGGTTCCGCTGAACTCTCGCGAAATTCCCGCGGGCATCTTTGAGGTAGATTACTCTCCTTCTTTCTTCCCTTCTCTCTCTCTCCCTATCTCTCTCACACTCCTTCTCTCATCTCACACATAAATATAGGGTTCTTCGGCCTCAGAACAGCAAGCGTGCCTTTCAACTATCGGGTACTGCCGATCTCAATTAGAATTGTAGTTTAAAGTAACTGGTTCTCCTTGGCCCATTTTGTTTTGCAGGAATTGGAACCCGCAAAGGAGGAGACACGGAAGCTTAAAACCACTGGACTGGAACAGCATTTTGCAGAGCGGAACAGGTACCTTCGAGATGTGAGTAAAAACAGATTGCCGCTTTTTGCATCAACTTTACCTCCAAACAAAATAAAGTCACAATATTAAAATGCGATGATTTTCACCATCAATCAATCACGTTCTGGCCCCCTTTCCAACACAGGTCATTCGAGCACATCTTCTGGGATGCGCTGCAAACGAAGCGTGTTTTTCATTCATTCGTCCTATATCGCAAATCAATGCCTACTCACTATGTGTTAGTAGTATGTGTTGTTTATGGATGCTACATTTTATATCCACATTGTATTTTACCTTCTTTAGATCGGTAACGAAGTGCTGAGACGCTTCGAGGCGTCCATTAAAAAGAAGACGTTGGATGACGTTGTGGCCGAAGAGGAAATACCCAGTTTGATGTAATACCCCTTTCCCTTTTTTTTTACTTCATATACAGCTCCGACTTATCGTAACGACAGCGGAATGATTTTGATGAGTTGGAGGTGGATGGCCCACTTGTACTGGCTTGCTTCCATAAAAGGCTGATCTAGCATCAAAAGCAGCCGGGCATTAGCCTGCGTGAGTTAGTGGAGAGTCGCCAGTTTGGTATGAGTGCCTACTCCGGCGAGAATACCTTCCAAAATCAGAATTCAGTAGGAGCTAGCTGACTGAACCATCTTTTTAGTCGGACCGTTAGCATAATAATTTGGCATGGAAGCTATTTTTCACGATCTGAGGATATTTTCACGACTTTCCGTTCTATCCTTTCTCCCCGGTACCCAAGGACCCTTCGTTTTTACTTTTAATGTGATACCGATGGAGGCCATTCAAATAGCCGCTTTAGGAGTAAATTTAAACGTCTAACGGACGAGGAGAGGCGGTGAGACCCGTCCACTAGTCGTCCAGTCAATGTGGCCGCAGGTGGTGACCTATGCTCGTCCTCTCGTTTGTGGACCAAATAGAACGCGTTAGCTGCGGTTAGGCAATGGCTGACACCGTTGAAGGTCCCTTCCACCCGCCTCCTAATGTGAACGCACAAGCGGCCTTAGTTTGGAATAGTGCTCAGGTCCATCTCCTGGGATTTCAATGATTTTGGAAACTAAATCTGGTAGATATCCATCAGATATCGCTATCCAGTTCCAGAACCCTGATTGGCTGACTGCAATGTCGCCGTACACTAGTGACAGTGCTAACACTTTTTCCCATATCAGCTATCAACGAAATGTTTATGCAACACCGCGTTCTGTCGTTTCGTAATGATCTGCCGTTCGGCTCCGTCCTCCCTATTGCAGTGGTTATTTTCTTATGGTGGTGTAAACTGCAGTGAAGGAAAAGGTGGAACATCGAAAAAAGTGTGGTCATTCTCCAGACTTTATGAATTCCCTTTCGATTGTCTCAGCAGAGGTTTGGGGCAATTAGATTCTCCTTTGGTTTTCGCTGATGGCTGCGCCGACCTTGGTGAAAGTGATCAATCGGGATGCTGATGTACGCTTTTGCGCTCGGCCGTATGAAGATTGGCAGGTGTGCTAAGCTCTTAACAAATCTGTTGTCACATTCATGGCTAGATTCTCTAACCCTGATCAAATCTCATGCTGCCCCACGTTCTGCCAGCCTAGCTATATTTGCGAAATGCTTCTATCTTCATTTATTTAATCTGCGATGCACCTCTTTTGAATGGCCCTATTTTCTAAAGTTCAGTTCAATTCAGCTTATTTGAGGGAAATATAGGTGTGTAATTTTGAACGTGCATTGTTAGTGTGTGCTTTCTACCACTATCCAATCAGGGCTATGTTACCCCTACTGACTGAGTTTCTGAGACCTCGCCGGCCCCTCAATCCGAACCGGAAGGAGACGAAGAAGACGAGCATGCAGAATATCAAGGAGACTGGTGTTGTCCTGGTGGTCACCATTGGTGATGCCAAGAACCTCCCCATTCGCGCCGCAGAGCAGAGCAGTCGCATGGCAGGAAGACCAGCAGAAGTGGTGAGTTTGCTCATAAATAAGTACATTTGTACGGCCTTCCTAAAAAAATACTTCGTACTCACTATGGATTAGTAATGTGTGCCGTTTGCGATTGAGTTTGAGTGAGAGCCCAAAACGTCGGCCCAATAAACTTATTCGAGCAATCGCAGGAAGACCAGTAAAAGCGGTGTTGTGTGTGCTGAACTTGAAATGTTTTCCGAATTCATCAGCGGTACCCTCCGAAGAGGACGAAGATGCGATCGCTGGAACAAGAAGCTTGTTGGTCTGACTTTTCGGACTCTCGTTCGGAGCCGTCATCAGAAACAACCAATACTTGGGTTCAAGCGAGAGTTCGAAACGTGAGACTTAGAAATTTATTGTGCCAGCAATTGCATCTTCTTGCTCTTCTGAACTGACCCATTCGCTTCTCTGAGCTGGCGTAACTTCCCCCTTTTATAAGTCCGTTAGGCAGACTTCGAAGTTGGGGCCCCAGTTGCAGCTATCGATCGTAATCTCTGACTGTTCCGGGCACCCTGACGCGTAAAAGTCCTCGAAGTTCGTCCCTCGTGCACTTGATACGGCTGTGATCATGCTTGATCTAGCCGGCATCAATGATGTCACTGACTACCTCTCTACGTGTGAAAATGAGCGGTATCAAAGCTGGAAAGCTCCACCCATTCTCTTCTCCAGCGACGAAGACCGACAACCGAAGTTCCAAGAACCACTTCCATGTCTTGACGAATGGTGTCCAGCCAAGTTTCAAGTTGCACTTCCAGGAGGGCTGCGGCGCCGGATCGAGCGCAGAATAGCAAAGCTCGTGAGACGGACAACGAAGAACGTGGCTAAACCACCTCAATTTTCTTTTTCGGATAGTCCGAGATATCCTCGTGATACTGTCGTAGCGAGTGCGAACTGTCTCATTTGAGCTGAAGTCGGTAAACTTCACTCGAATGAGGGTCCTCAGGCAATAATGGTCACATAACTCCAGTCTTCGCTCATCTTCGACGCGTAAAGCCCAGCATTCATATCCATAGAAGAGGACTGAAGGAGGTGAATGCGTGATACACACGGATATTCGTGGCGATGGAGATGTCGCGTCAGATGCATAGGCGCTTTTGGAGGAGTGAGAAAACCAGACGAGCAACATCGATTAGGGAAACAATGTCATTCTTACTCTGTCCATTCGGTAGCAACCTCGTCCCGAGGTATTTAAAGCTGTCAACTTCTTCAAGTTGGCGGCCATTAATCCCCAGGGGTGCCTTCTCCTGGTCAGGGATGCGGCTCGAGAATTATTTGGTCTTCCAGGTATTTGTAGACAAGCCAACCGACGTTGCGATCTCATTCACTCCTAACACTACAGACTGTAGTTCACCAAAGCATGAGGCTAGCAGGGCGATATAATCGGCGTAGTCGAAATCAATCAGCCGGTGTTCGGGTGCAAACGCAATACCAGCCCCTTTGTGTATAGCCTTCCAGAGAATCCAGTCAATGGCGTAGTTAAATAGAATTGACGACAGGGCGCAGCCTTGTCGAACACTAGACCGGGTATCGAAAAGTTGGGAACGTCTGTGATTAGGTAGTAGAGAGGATTTTCCGTAGTTGCGATGCCTGGCCTTGTGTACGTCAACTCCACAAAGGCGCCTCGGCTGGATCCACTCTACAGCCTGCTAGGCTACCGCCAACGAAGGCGACGAAACTGATATAAATGTTTAGTCTTAAATCTTAAAATTGGATCGTTGTTTGTGATCCGCAGTTTATACTACCGTAGAGAGATTTCTGTTTCAATAGGGACGCCGGGATAGAACGGTAACTCGTTAGGAAACGACAAAGTCTGTCCCGCGAAGTGTTAACCAAACTTCCGTAATGCGTTTTCAGTTAGCCTTAGGTCACAGGATGATTAATATTACAGTTCCACTTCTTAATCGAAAATGTACTTCAGAAGTCCCGAGACAGAACTTTAGTAAGGACACGGGACTCAGGAATAGGAACGTTCCGCCGAATTAAAGTACGCGGCTTTGTGAGTGTTACGACCTGTGCCTCATACTTGTAATTGGCACGAACTCCTGTCCCGAACGCCAGAGAATTAGAAGGAGAAAGACCAGGTGCGGCGTGTCTTCACACAAAGCAAGTTAGATGGGTTACGTGTATTAATGATCCGC